GTACTGGAGGTGCTGGAGCTGCTGGTCCTGGAGGTGCTCGTACTGGAGGTGCTGGAGCTGCTGGAGCAGGTGGTGGTGCTGGTGCTGGAGATGCTGGAGGTGCTACTGGAGCTGCTGGCACTGGAGGTGCTGGAGGTACTGCTGGTGCTAGAGGTGCTGGCGCTGCCGGAGCAAGTGGTGCTGCTGGTGCTGGAGGTGCTGGAGGTGCTACTGGAGCTGCTGGTGCTGGTGCTGCTGGTGCTGGATGAGCTGGAGCTGCTGGTACTGCCCCGCGCCGACTGTTTTTCTACCCGCAGCCGCAGTCGTCCCTGCCGCCGCCTGACTCGGTCCTTCGCCAGGTTCTTAGTCTTCCGTCTTCCACTGGCCTCACTCCACCTCTCCTGTGTCCACCGACAGACCAGTCTCAGCCACAGCTACTGCCTGGCTCCCCACTGCCTGCTCCTGCTCCTCACACCGAGGTAACTGAGTCCCTGACTGAGCGTCGTGAGCCTGAGACTCGTGCTTCCACACCTGTTCGTGCTCGTCGTGTCGCCCGTTCTCGTCCTCCTGCTGTCCCAGGCACTCACGTTATGGCACTTCGTCCTTCCTCTGTTCCACAGCGTGTTGCCCTGCCGTCTCCTCATGCGTCCTCTCTTCCTGACGTTCCTGACCCTGAGTCAGACCTTGCTCGTGCTGCCAGTCCTACTGTCACTCGTCTCCTCGCTACTGTCGTCACTGACCCTGACTTTGAGTCTACTGCTGCGTTTGCCCTAGTCACTGAGCTAGTCGACTTTGCAGCTAGGAGTCGTCTCGACTACGTCGCGAGTCTTGTTACTGAGTCTGAGTCTGTCTGTCCTCCGTCCGTCGGGGGTGATCATGCCCTTAGCAGTGACGTTCTTGAGGACATGCAGTTTGAGATTGAGTGTCTTGCGGCCGCTTTACCTCGTTTCGCATCCATGTTGCTTTGCCCTGAGGGAGACCACTTGACATCCCTACCCCGCGCTCTTACGCTGAGGCGATAGCGGGTGAGTACTCCTCTCAGTGGCAGACAGCCATGGACGCAGAGATGGCTTCCTGGAAGTCCACAGGCAACTACGTCGACGAGGTTCCTCCTCATGGGGCGAACATAGTCGATGGCATGTGGATTTTCAGAGTGAAGCGGCCGCCGGGTTCTCCGCCTGCCTTCAAGGCGCGTTACGTTGCTCGAGGCTTCAGTCAACGACAGGGGTTCGACTTCTTCCAGACCTTCTCCCCCACCCCGAAGATGACTACTCTTCGGGTGCTGCTGCACGTTGCAGCACAGCGTGACTACGAGCTGCACTCCCTCGACTTCTCCACAGCTTTCTTGCAGGGCAGCCTTCACAAGGAGATCTGGTTGCGCCGCCCACCTGGCTTCACTGGGTCGTTTCCTGCGGGTACCCAGTGAAGCCTCCGGCGGCTAGTCTACGGTCTCCGCCAGGCGCCCCGAGAGTGGCACGACACACTGAAGACTACACTTGCGGCTCTTGGGTTTGCTCCTTCCTTTGCTGACCCGTCGCTGTTTCTACGCACCGACACTACCATGCCGCCGTTCTACGTTCTCGTGTACGTCGACGACTTGGTTTTTGCTACTGCTGACACTTAGGCACTGGCCCTAGTGAAGGCGGAGCTGCAAGAGAGACACACCTGCACTGACCTGGGTAAGCTGCGTAGCTATCTTGGCTTGCAGATCACCCGGGACAGAGCGCGGCGCACCATCACCCTGACTCAGTCACACATGGTGCACCAAGTCCTTCGGCGCTTCGGCTTCCAGTACTCCTCGCCACAGCCCACTCCTCTGTCTACCGGCCACTCGCTCTCAGCTCCACCTTCGAACGAGTCCGTAGAGCCGAGTGGTCCGTACCCAAAGCTTGTGGGTTGCCTCATGTACTTGATGACGTGCACACGACCTGACCTCGCGTACCCTCTCAGCCTCCTGGCTCGCTACGTGGCTCCCGGTAGACACCGAAAGGTGCACTTTGATGCTGCGAAGAGGGTACTGCGTTACTTGTGCAGTACATTGGGCATGGGGCTCGTGCTTGGAGGACGGGGTCCGGTGGTACTCACAGGACACTCCGACGCTCCTTGGGCCGACGACCAGGCGACTCAGCGTTCGTCACAGGGTTACACCTTCAGTCTTGGCTATGGTTCAGTCTCGTGGAGGTCCACTCGTTCTTCTTCTGTGCTAGGTTCCAGCTGTGAGGCCGAGATCTACGCTGGGGCCATGGCTGCACAGGAGCTACGCTGGCTGACCTACCTGCTGACCGACTTGGGGGAGCGGCCTCGTTCTCCTCCAGTTCTGTACATCGACAACAAGGAAATGCTTGCCTTGTATCGCGAGCAGAGACTGGAGCACAGAACGAAGCACATTGCTCTTCGCTACTTTCTTGCTTGAGAGCTGCAGCAGCGTGGTCAGCTTTGCCTTTCTTACGTGGCCTCTCGGGCCAACACTGCTGATGTCTTCACCAAGGCCCTCGGGTCTGGTGATCTTCAGCGTTTTTGCACTGCACTTGGGCTTGTGCCCACTCTGCCTCACCTGCTGGTTGCTTGACTTGCTCTTGTTGTACACTGATATATATCTTTATACCTGCTTGTTTACTCTTGCTAGGTTGTGATCAGTGTACTGCCTTGTTATTATAACTCTGCATGTGAACTGGCCTTGTGGCCGCTTGCTTGTGCTCAGATTGTGTGGTGTCCTTGAGATCCACCCGGAGCTTTGCTTTGCTTGTTCTCTTGCTTGACTGGTCTTGTGACCGTCTGTTGTGTTTGCTCTCTCCCACTTAGCCTATGGGGGTGTGTCAAACTGTATGTTTGTGTTCTCTCTAGGCTATAGTGGGTTAGCCTACAAGGGGTAGAACACTTTAGGGTTAGTACTTGTACCCAACTCATTCATAGTTCATTCATTCCTGCACAGTGATTCTGACACACAAGACCAGTCAAGCAAGAGAACAAAGCAAAGCAAAGCTCAGGGTGGATCTCAAGATCACCACGCAGTCTGAGCACAAGCAAGTGGCCACAAGGCCAGATCACATGCAGAGTTATAAAAGCACAATCACTACAGTGATCACAACCTAGCAAGAGCAAGCACAAGGAAAATATATATGCAGGTATATATATGTATATCACAGTACAAGGAAAAGTCAAGCAGTAAGCAATTGAGGCAGAGTAGGAACAAGGCCTAGAGCAGTGCAGAAATGCTGATGATCACAAGGGCCTTGGTGAAGACATCAGCAGTGTTGGCCCGAGAGGACACGTAAGCAAGGTGCAGCTGACCACGCTACTGCAAATCTCGAGCAAGAAAGTAACAAAGAGCAATGTGCTTCGTTCTGTGCTCCAGTCTCTGCTCCCGACACAAGGCAATCATAGACTTGTTGTCGACGTACAGAACTGGAGGAGAACGAGGCCGCTCACCCAAGTCGGTCAGCAGGTAGGTCAGCCAGCGTAACTCCTGTGCAGCCATGGCCCTAGCGTAGATCTCGGCCTCACAGCTGGAACCAAGCACAGAAGACGAACGAGTGGACCTCCACGAGAGACTGCAGAAGCAACGGTGCACAGTGTGCCCAGTCTTCCCAAAGGGCTCGCCAATCCTGGGACCGGAGAGCCTGATGTACGGGCAACGAAAACTACCCCCAGAGGAGCCACGCTGGACAACCCACTCACGAAGCTCCTGAGGGGTGCGTGGCTCCTTATGGCGTGGGTGCTGCTGCTGTCTACCCACAGTGCCTCCGCCGCCACGAGCTGCACCCCCAGTCGCCGCCCCATAGCCTCCACCCCTGCCAGCTCCACCTCGACCGCCACCCGAGCCCCCCGCCCACTCCACCGCCTCCACCACCCCCGCCACCTCCACTGCCGCCACCACAGCCTCCACCTCCGCCACCACCACCACCTCCACCCCCACCACCACCACCGCCACCACCCCCGCCACCACCCCCGCTAGTGGCCCCCCCCCCCACCCTTACCCCCCTTGCCCTTGCCGCTGCGGTGCCTCCCACTAGGAGCAGACGCAGCACCGACTTCCTCAGTACGAAGGAAGTCAACAGCAGCAGCAATAGCAACGGAAAGCATGAGAAGGGAGGGAGAACACCCCTCAAAGAGGGGGGAGCGGGGAGTGCCACGAGAGGCAGCTACAGCGACAGTACTGGTCTCGCCCTCGAGGAGATGCTTCTCCAGCAAGGCAAGGGTGATCTCGGTGGGGTCAATAGCAAGGAAGTGATCCCTAACGGCGCGGAGGGAGTCAGGGAGGCGGGTAACGAAGTAGTAGAGAGTGATGTACATCGGAGGCGGGTTCGCAACCAGAAAGGCCGGCTTGAGAGCGGCACGGTAGCGAGCGTCACTAGAGCGAAGGTGGGTCATGAGGTCAGCGACAGTATGGAAATCCGACAGCTCAGGATAGAGGTACGGCAGCATGATACGGCCTAGGGCAACAGTAGAGGGGGAGGAGTAACGAGCAACTACGGCGTCATAGAGTTCCTTCGCCGTCTTAAGCTTGCCAAAATGGACTCGTTCCTCTAGCGGGAGGGCATTGCGGACAGAAAGGCGGGCGACAGCATCGCGGGTGAGCCACTGAGTACGAAGAACACGCTCAGTTGACTCTTCAGGGGCAAGGCAAGAACCGGACGTGTGCTCTAACAGTGAAACGTCCTCCCTAGCCATGCTCTACAGGTACAGCTGGAGATCCTCGAGCCAGCAGTCAAACCTAATCGGGCGACCCTCCGCGTCAAAGGTAAGGACATTAAGCGTAGCCATAGTGGGCAGTAGCAGTGGCAACAGAAGCAGCAACAGCAGCAGCAGCAGCAGCAGTAGCAGCAGCAACAGCAGCAGTAGCAGTAGTAGCAAACAGGTACGGCAGCAAAAGCAGCTCAGCTGGGCAGCTAGGCAGGGCGGCTCAGCTGGCGGTTCGGCAGGGCGGCGCGGCTCGGCTGAGCGGCGCGGCTCGGGAAGGGCGGCGCGGCTGGGCAGGGCAGGGCGGCGCAGCGCGGGCGGCGGCAGCAGCTTAGCAGCAGCTGCAGCGTGTGCAGGGCGGGTGCAGGCGGCGCAGGACAGCGTGCGAGCTGTGCGGGCAGAGCACGGGCGGCACGGGCCGTAGGGGCAGCGCGCGGGCAGCGCCAGCAGCGTGTGGGCAGTGCGCAAGCAGGGCGCGCGGTGTGTCAGAATAGTAGCATAAGTAGGAGTTAGGGTTTTGGTAGGGCCTAGGCTTAGTAGCCTACGCCAAGAAAGAAGGAGAGAGTTGTGCCAAGAAGAAGGTTTGACTAAAGGGCCAAAGGCCCAAGTTATACAAGAAACAAGGCAAGAAGTGGTGCACCACAAACAAGATGATGCATCTACACTACACCTACAAACGCTTATATTTTGACACGCCCCCAAAATGTTTTGCAGGTACAAGTGTAGTAACGCCCCCTTACGGGGTACACCATGCAGAGTGCAGCGGAAGTAGCAGAGGGCAAGTGAGGAGGAGGCGGCTGATGCTGCGGCTGGACTCACACCACCCCCTCAACCTCCCCCCCACAGCAGCAGCAGCGGCAGTGAGGAGAGAGAGTAGGAGGCATGGCGGCAGTTGCTGCAGTTGAGTCACCCACCACCCACACCCCTGTACCTCCCCACCACTTCATACTCCCCCCCACAGCAGCAGGTGCGGCCGTGAGAGAGAGGAGGCAGGCTGGCACTGTAGGTGCAACCTCCCCATCACACCCTCTCCTCCCCCCCCCCCCCCCCCCCCCAATTGCTGCACACGCAGCAGGGAGAGGGAGGAGAAGGGGGGGGGGCGGCGTAGGGGCTGCGCCTGCGGCTGCAGATGCGCGTGCAGAGGGGAGCAGCCGTGCGCACTGCAGTCGCCACGCACCACAGCAGGGCGCACGGGGCGCGCAGGGCAGCAGGGCGCGCGGGGCGCGCAGGGCAGCAGGGAGCGCGGGGCGCGCAGGGCAGCAGGGCACGCGGGACGCGTATGGCAGCAGGGCGCGCGGGGCGCGCAGGGCAGCAGGGCGCGCGGGGCGCGCAGGGCAGCAGGGCGCGTGGGGCGCGCAGGGCAGCAGGGCGCGCGGGGCGCGCAGGTCAGCAGGGCGCGCGGGGCGTGCAGGGCATCAGGGCGCGCGGGGGCAGCAGGCGACGCGGGCTGCAGGGCGCGCGGGCAGCAGACGACGCGGGCTGCAGGGCGCACGGGGCGCGGGACAGCAGGGCGCTCAAGGCGCGTGAGCAGCAGGGCGCACGTGGCGCGCAGGGCAGCAGGGCGCGCGGGGCGCGCAGGGCAGCAGGGCGCACGGGGCGCACATGGCAGAAACCGACGCGCACTCGGGGCGCGCGACGGCCAGAAACCGACGCGCGCTCGGGGCGTGCGACGGGAAGAAACCGACGAGCGCTTGGGGCGCGCGACGGGCAGAAACCGACGCGCGCGACGGGCACGCGACGGGCAGAAAGACGGAGTGCGCCATGGAGTGCGCCATAGCGGAAGCTAACGGTGGGCTCAAGGAAGGAGGCTCTAGGAACGAGCCTGCTCAGATACCATGTCAGAATAGTAGCATAAGTAGGAGTTAGGGTTTTGTAGGGTCTAGGCTTAGTAGCCTAGGCAAAGGAGGAAGGAGAGAGTTATGCCAAGAAGAAGGTTTGACTAAAGGGCCAAAGGCCCAAGTTATACAAGAAACAAGGCAAGAAGTGGTGCACCACAAACAAGATGAGGCATCTACACTACACCTACAAACAATTATATTTTGACACGGTGTGCGGGCAGGGCGCCGGCGGTGCAGGCAGCGCGCAGGCAGTTCGCGGGCGGGGCGAGCAGGGCGCGGGCAGCAAATGCAGCGCGCGGGCGGTGCATGCAGCGCACGGGCAGCGCAGGCAGCGTGCGGGCAGCGGGCGCAGCGTGCAGGCAGAACGCGCAGCGAGCGCAGGCAGCGCGCGTGCAGGCAGCGCGAGCAGGGCAGCGTGCGGGTCGCGCGCTGGGCAGCAAGCAGGCAGCGCGCGGCACAGGGCAGAGCGCGTGGGGTAGCGCAGGCAGGGCAGCGTGAGGGACGCTGTTCGGGCAGGGCAGGAACGAACGGGCAGGGCAGTTCGGGCAGTTCGGGCAGTTTGAAACTAGCGGTGGGCCCTAACGGAGCGGTCCTACGGATGGATGACGGAGCGGTCATAAATAACGTGCAGGAATGAATGACTAGAAGCATGAGATGAGTACAAGTACTAGGTCTAACCGTAAAGTGTTGTACTCAGTAGAGGCTACCCCACTACAGCCTACAGATATACAAACACAGATTGACAGGCAGGGGATGGGCAGGAAGTTAGATGAGAAGAGCAAAGAAGCAAGTAAGTGTTTGGGATGGGGTTTTTCATATACCGGATCTATGCATGGAATCATGGATTATGGGGTATATGCACACGAAGCTAAGGAATAGGGCTGGGCCCTTTGTGCATGCATGCTCTGGAAAACCGGAACAGGGTGGAAGAAGGCATGATTTCACGGATGCATGGGAATGCTCAGACTTACCCTGGAGAAAATTTGGGAAGAAACCCAGCATCTCCATACGCATAGTCTGATTCACACGTCAGCTCTACCAGCTCACCCACCAGAGGATATAACGTGTGATTACATCAGTTAAACGAAAACGAGAAGGGAGAAGGACCAAGAATGAGGAGGCCAGATGCTGCCCATGACGCCCACTGCCACCTGTGCCTCTGCCCCTGCGGAGATTCACTCTACAACGGTAGTGAGCTAGACTACGGGGGTTGGCACGAACTACTAGGAGTGATCGTAGCTTTGCTTAGTTCCTTAGTGCTTGCGCATACACGGGAGAAATCGGCAAGAGTTTCACTAGGCAAAGTTGGAATTACATAATGGTTAAACAAGCAATGACAACAATGACTACATCAGGCACCTAGCAACTCTGCAGCTAGCCTGGTCGACCGCCAGCACAGCTTGGTCGACCACCTGCCAGCGTTGCGTAGAGGAGCCGCGCCAGCACTGCAGAAGGGCGACCTGCCAACACTGCAGGTCGACGGTGTGCCAACGCTGCAGCAAAGCGGCTGTCCAGCGTTGCCCCGTAGAAGACAGCAGTGTGCACGCTCGCAGGTGCGCGCAGAGGATTGGCCCGACTTGCACCGTTGTGCATCCGTCGGCTGTTGTCTGCGCCTGACGAGCCACATCGACTTCGGGATACCAACCCAAAGTCGCCTTCGCCATCGCAACCTCGACGACGTTCGCGTGCCTCCGCAGAACTCGCCGAGCAGGTTACCTGGTCGACCTGGTCGACCACCAGGTGCTCTGGTCGACCACCAGTGCCTCTGGTCGACCACCAGGTGCCTCTGGTCGACCACCAAGTGCCCCTGGTCGACCACAGCTCCTGCCGAGCTACCCCCTGGTCGAGCTAGCCCCCACGCTAGACCCGCGCCACCCACGCTTCCGCCACCGCCCGTGATAAACCCGCCCGCACTCGCTGCGCCCCCCTGTGTTGCGCAGGGCTCACGCGGAGACGGGAAAAACTCCGCTGAGGCGCCGTCCCCCTTCCCGCCGGCGGGCGTTGCGCGCTCGGTAAATGATACACGGAAGCTCCCCCTTCCCCATAGAAAGGCGTCGCTCATCCGCTCCCCCCCCCCGAAACGAAACTGTTTCGTCTTTGTCCCTTCCGCCTTCCGCAGCCCTTCCGCTTCCGCTTCCGCCCTCAAGCCAGGTTCCGCCGCTTTTCCGTACGTTTCCGCTGCCAACGGCGAGTGACGCGCGTCGTCCACCCGGCGATCTCGCGTCCACCGCTCCAGCAGAAATAGTCGACGTGTCACCAGCGGCCGCATTATGCCGGTTCCCGCCTGAAACCGGGTTACCGCTGCGCCGACCACCCAAAGGGTCAGGGATTCAAGTAATTCGCGTAAGCCAGTCGCTCAGCTCAAGCGACGGTTCGCTGGAGTCGTCCGGCGGTCGCCCCTGGGCGGCGGTCGCAACGCTGCGACTCCCTGCGAAGTCGAATCGTCGCGGATGCGACCGCCGCCATCTCCGCCGCCTCTGCCACCGGCGGCGCCCCCGCCGCCCCCGCCGCCAGCGGAAGTTGCGGCGATGGCGGACGACATCCGCAGCTGTTCTGCTGACAAGTTCCGCTGCTGCTGCCGCGCCGAAAGTTGTTGCGCAGACGAGAGCTGTTGCGCAGACGAGAGCTGTTGCGCGGACGAGAGCTGTTGCGCGGACGAGAGCTGTTGCGCGGATGAGAGCTGTTGGGCCGACAGGAGCTGTTGCGCCAATGCACTCCACAGAGCGGACGATGCGGCAAGCGACGAAAACGGCGTCGCGGAAGGTGGCGGTTTGCTGCATTCCGCCTGACGGCATCGCGGAAGGTGGCGGTTCGGGAGTCCTATCACGTTGTTGTCGGCGCTGACTCTCACGACTCATCGGCGAGGGATATTGACGATGGTCGTCGCGAGTGTCGCGATCGTCGCGAGTGTCGCGATCGTCGCGATCGTCGCGAGTGTCGCGATCGTCGTGATCGTTGCGATTGTCGCGATTGTCGCGATTGTCGCGATTGGGAGGGCAGTTCGACGGTCGGCTGCTTCACTCGTACATCCGACCAAGTCGTCGGCGTTGCCCAAGCGAGGGCGGGGCCAACACTTCACTCCCGTTAACACTCCCCTGCCGCGCTCACACTTGGGCCTCCAGCCCACACGGCAGTACTCTACGGAGAAAACTCGTCCTCGGCGTGCACCCCACACACAGCGCGCCATCACCGCACCAGCCGTGCAGAAGGGCACGGCACCTACTGCTGCACCTCGTCGTCCCCGTCGCCGACGTTGGCTAGGCGCACTTGGCCGATGGCGACGGAGCACCGGTTGAAGGCCGGAAAATGCAGCGCCTTCGTCAGGAAGTCAGCCGGCTGCTCGGTGGTCGGGATGTACTTCAACACGAACTTCCCGTGCTTCACCATGTGCTGCAGCCAGGCGTAGCGTCGCTCCATGTGCTTGAGGTTGCCCGTCAGCCCCAAGCCCTCAGCGACCGTAATTGCCCGACTTGTTGTCGAAGCGGAGGATGGTCGGCTTCCCAGCGTCGAGTAGCTTGAATTCCGCAAGGAGGAAACGAAGTCGGCGTCCCTCCTTGCCTGCATCCGTTGCCGCCACGTACTCCGACTCGGTCGACGACAATGTCGCGCACTTGATGCGCGAGCTCGACCAGGAGACGGCGGCCCCTCCGTAGACGAACGCGTAGCCTCCCGTGCTCGTCCGGTACTGCTTGTCGCCCGCGTCGTCGGCTCCCACGTAGCCGATCAGCTCCAGCGACTCTGGTCAACCGCCGAACTCCAGGGCGGTGTCGCGGGTGTCAGCGAGGTAGGCGAGGCAGCGGTCGACCTCGCGCCAATGCTGGTCGCTCCTCACCGTGAGGCCGCTCCCCAACTTGCTGCAGGCGAACGCGATGTCCGGCCTCGTCGTCGTCGCCGCGAACTGCAGCGAGCCAACATTCTGCCGGTACTCCTCCTCCTCGTGTTCCTGCGCCTCCTCGTCGTCGAATGTCAGCTCAGCGTAGGCGTCGACCGAGACCGGCGTCTTCGGGACTCGACCGCCCTACTCCTCGTCGATGAAGCGCATGCGCAGCTTGTCGGCGTAGTTCTGTTGGTGCAGCCACAGCTTCCTCGCTGGCCTGTCACGCACGATCTCCAGCCCGAGGTACTTGACGACCGGCGAAATCTCTCGCAGCTCGAAGGCAGCCTCCAGCAGCTCCTTCAGCTCCTTCAGCATCGCGGTGCTGCTGCTGGCGGCGAGGAGGTCGTCGACGTAGACCAGCACCCAGCAGGTCAGTCCATCGTCGCCGGCCTTGAAGTAGAGCGCCGTGTCGACCTGGCTCTTCTTCCAGCTGGCGCCCAGCAGCACACTGTCGAGAGCCCTGTACCACAGTAGCGGCGATTGCTTCAGCCCGTAGAGGCTCTTCAGAAGCTTACACACCCGGCCGGTCCCATCGTCGAAGTAGTCCGGCTGGTACATGTAGAGCAACCTGTCGAGCTTGCTCTGCAGGAAAGCGTTCTTCATGTCGAGCTGCATCAGGTTGAGGTCGAGGACGGCGACGATGCTGAGGAGGATCCTCAGCGTGACGTATCTGCTCACCGGCGAGTACGTCTCGTCGTAGTCGGCACCGTACACCTGCGTGAAGCCCTTCACGACCAGCCTCGCCTTCTCGCGCTCGACGGTGTCGTCGATGCGGTACTTGGTCGTCAGCACCCACCGGTTCTTCATGATGT